TTTGTGGGGAAGCCTGAGGGTCGCTCCTGGAAACCGTGACCACCTTTTCCCAGGTGTTTCTAAGAAGCCGTCACTGTCAGTGCAGCCGGGTCCTGTCGTGGCCCCTGGGGATAAGCTGACCCTCCAGTGTGGCTCTGATGCCGGCTATGACAGATTCGCTCTGTATAAGGAGGGAGAACGTGACTTCCTCCAGCGCCCTGGCCGGCAGCCGCAAGCTGGGCTCTCCCAGGCCAACTTCACCCTGGGCCCTGTGAGGGGCTCCCACGGGGGCCAGTACAGATGCTCTGGTGCACACAACCTCTCCTCCGAGTGGTCGGCCCCCAGTGACCCCCTGGACATCCTGATCGCAGGTGAGGAGCCCAGCGGGTTCAGTCAGGGACCCAGGCTCTGCTCAGGCCCTGCTGGGGGATCCCAGGTGGTGATGGCCGGGTTGAGGGGTGGGGGTCCCAAGGGAGGGAGAGACAGACAGAGACAGGGGATGGGGAGAAGGGAAGACTCAGAGAAAACAGAGACAGAGACTGAGGGTCCCAGATAGAAGCCTGGAGAGGCGTCAGCTCAGAACCAGGTGGGGCAGCCCCTCACCCATCGTTCTTCTCTCCAGGACAGATCCGTGGCACACCCTTCCTGTCAGTGCAGCCAGGCCCCAAGGTGGTCTCAGGAGAGAACGTGACCCTGCTCTGTCAGTCCTCGTGGCAGTTCCACGCTTTCCTTCTCACCCAGGCGGGAGCAGCTGATGCCCACCTCCATCTAAGATCAATGTACAAATATCCCAAGTACCAGGCTGAATTTCCCATGAGTCCTGTGACCTCAGCCCACGCGGGGACCTACAGGTGCTACGGCTCACGCAGCTCCAACCCCTACCTGCTGTCTGTCCCCAGTAACCCCCTGGAGCTCGTGGTCTCAGGTGAGACCCTGACCCTGTCCTCTCTGAGCTCAAAGGCTCAGCTCAGGCCCTGCTCCCAGCAGAGCTCTGGACACTAAGAAAAGAGGGGAGTTGGCCTGTAATCCCAGCACTTTGGGAGGCCGAGGCGAGTGGATCACGAGATCAGGAGATCGAGACCATCCTGGCTAACATGGCTCACTGCAACCTGGGGAATTGGCTTATGTGGTCCTGTGTCCCTGGCTGCACAGACAGTGCACGGGGCTCAGTGACTTCTGTATTACCTTTCAGATTCTGAGCTCCCAGAGTGCAGGAAAATATCCTCCCCAAAGGCCTCAGGAGCAACGTTTGGGTTTGTAGGACACAGGAAGTCTGAAATAATTCAATAAGGAGACTGAAGGGAGTGCTGCTGCGGCAGAGGAAGGGTTTATCGAGGAACTCACTAGAACTCATGTCAGGAGACATAGGGGAAGGTAAGAGTGAAGAGCCCGGGGGAGAGGCTGGCTCAGGGCTCTTCCCCTCTGTTTTCATTCTCAGGAGCAGCTGACACCCTCGGCCCGTCACAAAACAATTCAGATCCCAAGACTGGTGAGTGAGGAGATGCTCTCATTTACGGGGCCGGGCACAAGGGTTGGGTCCTGTCAAGGGTAAGGATGTGCTCTGGGTGGACATCCAGAGGTCCTGGGTGATGTTGATCTGTCCCGACCTCTGTGACCTCCTTGTCCACTATCCCCAGCCTCACACTCCCAGGATTACACACTGGAGAATCTCATCCGCATGGGCATGGCTGGCTTAATCCTGGTGGTCCTTGGGATTCTGCTATTTGAGCCTCAGTACAGCCAGAGAAGCCTCCAAGATGCAGCCGGGAGGTGAACAGGAGAGAGAAGAATGCACCCTTCAGAGTGTTGGGGCCTTAGGAACAGATCTGATGATCCCAGGAGGTTCCGGGACACAATTTAGGGCCAATGCTATCTGGACTGTCTGCCGGTCATTTCCAGAAGGAGGAATTGGATTGCAGAGACATTTTCCGGGGTGATCCATGGAGGACCATTAACATGTGATACCTTTCCTCCCTATTAATGTTGACTTCCCTTGGTTGGATCCCCTTCTTTTCCCACCCCCAGACATGAGGCTACATCCCACACGGCAGCGTTGGGTCCACAGCTCTGCACACCTGTGTGCTCTGGTCCATGGCACGTAACACAGTCTTCTTTAGTCCTCATTGCCACACTCCCTGGTGTGCTTTACTGAGCCTCCATCTCTTCAGTTCAGAGTTCCAAACACGCTTCAGTAACTAAATCAATGGGGAAATATCGGATTTCCACCAGGAAAAGATAAATCCACCCTGATGCCCTGACACCCTCTCTGAACCCTGTGAGTCCTTCCCTCCTTCTCAGATGCTACCTGTTTAGCTTTGCCTCAGATCATTGTGTAACCATCACTGCCATCCTGTTCCACACATTGTCATCACCCTACACCCAGTCAGCAGCCACTCCCCATTCCTTCCTCCCTCCAGCACCTGCTAACCACGAGTATGCTTTCTGTCTCTATGGCTTTGCCTATTCTTGCTGAAAATATTTCAATCTGCCTATGATCTGTGAGCTCCTCACTTCGAGATTTCCTGCCTTTCCAGGCAGAACCAAAGTACCCCATGTCAAAAGCAATGTTAGGCGTTTGCAGGGCGTTGGTGATCCACGAAAGGAAAATCACAGAAGTGGGATAGAAATCCAGCTGCAGGCAAGACCTCAGGTCAATGAATCTTGTCAAGCAGTTGAATTGTTTCTTTCTACTCACCTAGGACAGTCAGACAGAAGTATGCAAAATGACTGGGGCTGATTCTTTTCTGAATTGTCCCAAAACAGCAAGAGGACTTGCGTCCTAGCACTAAAGAGTTCAACATGTCTAGGTCAAAGACCACTGTTGTGTTGGAAGGATGTAAAACCCTGCTGCACAGGATAGAATGTTTGGAGGGAGGATCCTGAGAAACATGAGGGATCAAATAGTCCTGAACTTTCTAGGACAAAGGGAGCAGCCATTTGCCATCTACTGTCTCAAATAAAGAAATCTTATCATTCACCCTCTACTGTCTAGAATAAAGAAATCTTATCATTTGCCAACTACCCTCTAGAACAAAGAAATCTCTCCCCTCCCCAACAGCACATGGGTGCACATGCATCTTGCCATGCCATAGCTGCTGGTGTGAGTTCACCCACTCACCCGATGACCCCGAGCACTGGGACTGCTGTCAGAGCATTCGTGGGTGCAGAGATTGCCTGTCCAGTGCCCACCAGCTCATTAACCTCCCTGCACCAACACTGCCACTGGTGTGCACACACACAGGGAGACCAGAGGATCCACCCCCACTGCAAGCAGCTGCTGCCACCAGCGTGGAAGTGCACACAGAGGGTGTACACAATCCTGTGAGGCCAGAGCCCCACCACCGTGCTAACACCACTACCAGTGCAAATGCTCATACGAACACCTGCGGGGCTCCTGCCCACCCCACCCAGCCTTGCTGACACCACTGCATTGAACACCAACATGGAGGCCAGCACCCCTGCACCCACCAGCAGCCCACTGCAGCCAACAAATGTGTACGTCCCAGAGGAAAAGACATCATCACATCAGAAACACACTTGCATACATATGTTTATTGCAGCAAAATTCATAATTGCAAAGATGTGGAATCGACCTAAGTGCCCATCAGCCAATGAGTGAATGTGGTACATACACACAAGAAAATACTATTCGGCCATTGAAGAAAATGAAATAATGTCTTTTGCAGCAACCTGGATGAAGCGGGGGGCCATGACACTAAGTGAACTAACTCAGCAATGGAAAACCAAATACCGTATGCTCTCACTTACAAGTGGGATCTAAGTTATGGGTAATCAAAGACATATAAAGGGGTATAATGAACATTGGAGACCCAGAAGGGAGAAAGGGGGTGGAGAGTGAGTAATAAAATACTACGTACCAAATACAATGTATACTACTAGGGCGACGGGTGCCCTAAAACCTCAGGCTTCACCACTGTACAATTCATTCATACAACTAGAAACCACTTGTACCCCAAAAGCTATTGAAATAAAATACATTTTTTAGAAAAAACTATAATACAAAGCTACAGTAACCAAAACATTATGGTACGGGTACAAAAACAGACACATAGACCAATGAAACAGAATAAAGCCACACACCTACCATCATCATCTGATATTAAACAAAGTCAACAAAAATAGGCAATGGGGAAAAGACTCCCTATTTAAAAAATAATCCTGTGATAACTGGCTAGCCATATGCAAAAGAATGAAACTGGACAGACCCCTATATATCACCATATACAAAAATTAAAGCAAGACAGATTAAATATATATATAGAGGATCAGCAGTGGGTGAGCCGCAGGGGGAGAGAGGGGAGGTTTGTGGGGAAGCTGGAGGGTCGCTCTGGAAACCGTGACCACTTTTCCCAGGTGTTTCTAAGGAAGCCATCCTCTCAGTTGCAGACCGGGTCCTGTCGTGGCCCATGGGGAGAGTCTGACTCTCCAGTGTGCTCTGATGCCTGCTTATTGACAGATTCGCTCTGTATAAGGTGAGGGAGGCAAGTGACTTCCTCAGCGCCCTGGCCGGCCGAGCCCGCAGCTGGGAGCTCTCCAGGCCAACTCTCACCCTGGCGCCTGTGGAGCGGGGCCTCCAACGGGGGGCCAGTACAGATGCTCACGTGCACACAACCTCTCCTCCGAGTGGTCTGGCCCCCAGTGACCCCTGGACATCCTGATCGCAGGTGAGCGAGCCCTTGTGGGTTCAGTCAGGGACCCAGGGCTCTGCTAGGCCCGCTGCGGGGAGCCCAGGACGGGATGGCCGGGAATGATGGGGCGGTGGTCCAAGGGACAGAGAGTCCAGAAGAGACAGGGGATGGGCAAGGTTGAGGGAGACTCAGAAAAAACAGACAGAGAGACTGGAATGTCCTAGAGAGAGGCCTGGGGGTAGGTATCCAGCTCAGAGCAAGTTGGGCAGCCCCTCACCCTCCTTCTTCTCTCCAGGACAGATCCCGACAGACCTTACCTCTCAGGTGCATCCAGGGCCCCACAAGGGGCTCAGGAGAAGAACGTGACCCTTGCTGTGTCAGTACAGGGATGGATGCACACGGTTTCCTTCTGACCATGGAGGGAGCAGCTGACCCCCTCTGCGTTAAAAATCAAAGTGCCAATCCATAAGTACCAGGCTGGAATTCCCCATGGGTCCTGTGACCTCAAGCCCACGCCTCGGGGACTACGAGGCTCTTATGGCCTCACGCAGCTCCAACCCCCGACCTGCGACTCACCCCAGTGGACCCCCTGGAGCTCGTTGGTGCTCAGGGTGAGACCGCTGACCCGTGTCCTCTTCTAAGCTCAAAGGGGGCTCGGCAAAGGCCCTGGCTCCCAGCAGAGCTTCGTGGGCACTAAGAAAAGAGGGGAGTGGGCTTGTAATCCCAGCACTCTTGGGAGGCCGAGGCGGGTGGATCACGAGGTCAGGAAATCGGAGACCATCCTGGCGACAAGTGAAAACCCGAGTCTCCACTGAAAAAATAGAAAAAAACTTAGCGGGCGTGGTGGCGGCCTTTATCCGGTACTCGGCGGGCGACGCAGAGAGAATGCGTTGAACCTGGGGAGACGAGCTTGCATTGGGAGCTGACATTCACACCACTGCACTCACATGCCTGTGCGGGCGGACAGAGCGAACTCCTCTCAAAAAAAAAGAAAAGAAAAGATAGAGGGAGTGAACGGGGAGGGTCTGCAGGCGAGGCGGTCCCAGCCATGAGAGGGTGAAAATAGGACCAGGACCTCCCACCCCTGGCCTCAACCCCTGGACTCTCAGTTAGAGGTAAGGAGCAGGGAGGGCTGGAGGAGATGTGGCAACCTCAGGGAGGATGAGATTAGACCGGAGGTGGAAGACGGAGGGCCCCACCATGCTCCCCTCCTGATGTCTCCACCTCAGAATCAGAGCCTCTGGGGTCCCAAGCCTCTAAGTCCTGACTCCCTGCGGTGATAAAACACGTTGTCACACCCAGTTCAAGAGAAGTTTTTTACACTCATTTCTCAACGGTACCTTCAACTTATTCAGGGTCTGATATTCCAGGGCAGCACA